ATTACACAAATTATGGATTCGTTAATAAAAATTTGTTTTAATCTGTTAAAGAGTTTTTCCATTATATAATAAGACTCAAATTCATACACATCATACAATAGACGCAGTGCACAAACATATATGTGAATACATATTTCCAGGCGTACATATAAACATTTATGATAAAGCGAAGCTTGTGTGCTGAATTATAGCAGTGGCGACTTGTAACAACTAGGTGCCTGCTTTTAAACTATCAGGACTCGAATCGTCACGTACGATATCGTATTACTCGTCACGTAAAAACACCCTTTTCGCATTATTGTATGTGAACGTATCACGTAATTTTCTTTCGTATGGTTGTCGATCCGTGAACGGATGTTACGATTCGAGCCCAGGACTCACTTCTATACTATCAAATAAATACAGAGAAAAATTGCTTTCAATTCAGGATACATATCTATGTACGTATATACGCAGGTTATCAACGTTTCTCATTGATGGGTGATAGCGTGTTGCTATTTTGTGAGCTGGGCCGCTCAATGGTCATTGTCTGCTGTGGCACTTGGCTATCCGGACTAATGCCCAGTCCTGTGTAAATTTCTTTCATTACAAAGAGTATCGTGTCTTCAGATTCCCTGCAATGATAAGTACGAAAAGGTAATAACACATTTAGATATACTGTAATTGTACTTGTAAATAATAATAATATAAGCGTCGATGACCCTGATAATAAACCTCAAAAGCTGCAATTTATATACAGACATTTGAAAAAAGTTAAAAATTAAACTAAAGTATTTTAATAAAAATCAGGGTTCAAATAAACTATAAAAATATTAACTTTTGGATAATACCGCAATATGCGGTCTTTAACGTTACTTACTATACTTGACTATATTCTCCATTTTGATCGCATGCCAGGCACAAGAAAAATGAACGCGCACCGCATATATTGGATGTCAATTGGCACTTGTTTCTAAATAGATGCTTTAAGATCTAAATATATTGTACAACAATTTTGAATCGCTACATCTCAGAAATGGTAATTCTTAGGAAAGCAAATTTATACTAGGCAACACTGATTTTGGTGCGGCAAATGTTAAAGCGGTTTTTGATAGACTTTTTTGTGTGCTGATTAAGAATCGGTAAGTAGAAAGTTTCCATCAGCTCCAGATTTTGAAAAAATGAAGTCAAACTGTCAAAAAATCGCGTTTTTTGCAACATTTCAGAAGCTCTAGTAAAGAAACAAAAGGTAAGTAGTACCTTCCACGTAGGCTTAAATTAAAGTTAGCACCTTGACCTGATGGCCACTTTTAGTTATTTATTGAGCAATAAAAAAAAAGAAAACTGGAAAATTCCGACCAAGGCCATGGAGCAATAACTTGCAGCCGGACTGCTCCGGATCCTTCTTCTCCGGGCAGGCATTGATTTCCACCTCGGACTAAAACATACTTCTGCTGCATTTGCCAGAGACGACAAGCTTTGTGGCCCTCTGCTGCTCTACCCGCAAACGGCACGCATTCAAAGCATCGAATAACACAGGGATATAGAAGTTTGGTTCAACATGCAGAAACTTTTATTTTTGTATACTTGTGTTATTATTTTGTTCGAAAGGTATTTCAAACGAGAGGTGCGCAATGTGTCTATTTTTCCGGAAGGTGGCCCGACTTGCTTCAAATCACTCCACCTAACAATATTAGTAATATAGAACATCAGGAGGTGCTCATTTTTTCTTCATCGAAGAAGCTTGTGGATCGAAGTCTGTGGATCCATGATCTCCGTGTTAAGTAAACTGCATCAAACAATCGCTGTTACAAATATTTTTCGTTTTTCGTAGCAAATTTATTTAATTTTACTTGGCTAAACAGTAAAAAAATAAAAATAAATAAATTTTCAGAATCAACATTTGCGCGGCAACCAAAAAATGTAGTTGCCAATATAGCAATTCAGTTGTAAGCTTTCCGTTGCCAGTTACCATCTGTAATACAATTTCAGCCACTGGCAATGCAACTGAAGTTCGGTTGCCGGAAAAAGTTTCTTACTCTTATGAGAGTATTTCGTACTTACGCACACTTGCACAAAAAAAAAAATAATAACTGTATACTGCAATAGGTTTGTTATTGCTTAGATTAAGCCAAGTGTACATTTGTGCAGCGGTTTAACATACAAATAAATAACCGAAATCGTTAACTTACCAATAACAAACATGCGCGCCCATGGCGAATATGTACTCGTTGATGAATTCCAATGGTGCTTCTTGTAAAACATAATCGATGCGCTTGGAGTCATTCAATTTACCCAACGGAAAATCTATTTCAACCAAATCGGAATCAGATTGCGACGTTGACACTGAATCGGAACGTGTACGAGGCGGTTCTGCGTTCGCTTGCGTGGAGCCAGCATGCGGCTCACTGGATAAACTAGGCTGCACTGCTGCTTGCTGTTGTTGTTTCTCTGCTTCTATTTGCATACTTAAAACCTAAAGATTACGTTTGAAGAACGAAATAATGTTTAGTGGTGCATAATATGCTTATCGCTCATGTATAACCGATCCACATACATACATACCTTATCAACTTCCTTTGACATATTCTCCTCCGCATCGCGGCTGGTTCGCGTCGAGCCTCCCAAAAAATTAACACTTTCCAACGTATTTTTGAATGTATCCAAGAACCGTTGTTTCAAGTCAGCACCCACACGAGTCATTGTCTCTTTCAACTCCAAATGCATACGTTTACGTCCCTTGTGATGTGGTATCAGTACTGGTCGCACATTGCTCAAATCCGGATTAACCAGCGCTTCGATGCGATAAGCGACTGGATCGAAGGGATGGAATATGTTGTAAAAGCCCGAACAAGTAGGCAGGCGAAAGTCAAGGCCAAGCTTATCAATGCCGCGAATGGTGACAAACATGCCTTTTGAAAAGGAAAATATATGAGTTTAAAATAGCGTTGGTAAACAACAGCGCAAATTACTGAAAATGCGATACACTCACCGATTGGTGAACCCAATGCGAAAACTTTTTTGGGTTCAAAATTAAGCTGTGGATAATGTATAAATGGCTGACCAGTCCCAGCGTGGCCCATTGTATAGCTTGTAACGCTCAGGTCGTCATCATTGCTGACGTCCATGGGGCTTGTGCCGAGCTGATCGGGATTCTCCTGCAAACCCAAGGAAAAAATAAAAATAAATAAGTAAATAAAGTAGAGCGCCACGCACGGAANACATTTTAAGGCTTAATTCTTAAATTATAATATAAAATCTTTAAAGCATTTGAGCATCGAGCGCACCTCTCCGCATTCGTTTTCTTATACTTTTAAGTTATTTTTACTGATGAAGAAAAAAGTAGGAAGAAACTAGCGGTGCATCGAATTTTTGTGAAAAGGCTGAGAAAAGAAGATTAAAATTTGGCAGCGCTCACTCAGGGTGGAATAAGTGAAGCCTTCTTTCGAGAAAAGCAAACATGGCCTTTTTTTAATGTGAAAATACTTTTTCGATTCAAAATTTTCAAATCGCTAATATGAAAACCCCGAAAATTATGCTGTTTGAAAAAATCATGTTACTTGTTTCTTTGTGTAGTAAATTTAACCTTATTTGACAAGTGGTGAACCCAAGTNGTTTTTGCGAAAAGGCTGAGAAAAGAACATTAAAATTTGGCAGCGCTCACTCAGGGTGGAATAAGTGAAGCCTTCTTTCGAGAAAAGCAAACATGGCCTTTTTTTAATGTGAAAATGCTTAATCAAATACTTTTTCTGTTCAAAATTTTCAAATCGCTAATATGAAAACCCCGAAAATTATGCTGTTTGAAAAAATCATGTCATGTTTTTTCTTTGTGTAGTAAATTTAACCTTATTTGACAAGTGGTGAACCCAAGTGTATGAGTACTTACTAAATTCTGTTCCTCGGTTTCCTTCGGCGCTTTTTGGTGACAAAGTAAATCGAAAAGTATCAACGAGCCCAAACTATGCCCTGCCACTGAGACACCGCCATTGAATTCTGGATGACGTTCGCGGTATTTATTGTACACTTCGTTCATAGACGCAGCCACTGTGTTCATAATCTTTTGACAATATTTAGGACTGGTGTAAAAGAGCACATCCAACAGTGTATCGTTGGTGAAATTTCGTAATTTCGGTATTGACTCCAATGTTATTGAACGCAGTTTTTCATCAATGCCCATTTCCTCTGAATGTAAGTGGCTATGCCATGAAATAGGCAGCACTTCGACGCGGCCTACAAGTCCCATCTCAGTTGAATTTTTGTAGTGTGACTGAACCAAAGCCTGTGCAATGTTGCGAAAGTCGTCAACTGAATGTGGAGATAGTAAATATTAATTGGCATTTAAATGCAATTTTTGAACCTAGAAATGTTTTGCAATTACGGCTTAATATGGCTTTCCCAATTACTATCGCAATCCATTCACACGGACACATTCTTAATTCGATTTGACAGTTATTTGTCTCTGTGTTATATGGTATCTTCTTTTTGATACACAATGTGAGTTATTGTTAAAAATTTATAAATTTCCATATTAAATTGGTGATGTATGTACATACTATTTATTAACGTTACTTTTAGTACTAAGAAAAATTTCCGATAAAACTTAGGGAAGGCTGCAATTTGCTCGTAATTCGTATGGTAATTGGAGCGCGAATTATGAACGAGAGAGCAATTGGGGTGCCGTGGGAAAGCTGTATAACTATTGCTTCGTACTAAACTAACCAACTTCATCGACGCTGCGCATTTTCAAATCGCATGCCGAACCAATGCCATGTACCATCAGCAGTAAATGATCGACGCGCTCCGATTCACCCTGTTCGATTGTGAATTCGTCAAGGTCACGCTTAACCACACGAGGTCGTGTTGTTGTTTGCTACATTAAATAGTTATTTGAATTTATATTCGTTTTATATATGAAGATTAACCTCGAAGATACATATATGTATGTACTTACTGAAGTACCGCCCCAAGCGTCGGTAGACTGTTGCTGCTGAAAATGTACAATAACGGTGGGTCCATGGAATGTCACCTGCTCATGCATAGACAAAACGATCTTCTTATGCCATTCTCCGCTATCAAATGCCTGTTTATACTCGGATTCAAGTAGATCAGCGATTGACTCTTCATAAGGCACCATTTTGGAGTCGGTGCCTTTATAGAACCATGAGCAACGTCTGACCTCTATGGGAGCACATTCCCAGTAAACAGCCGTTTTGGTACGCTCCTTTATATTTACATCATAGCGGCCACCCTCGACGGCGACAATATTCGGAGAATTGGCTGCAAGTACAAATTATAACATACATACATAAATGACCTACAGTATTGTAACTATTCATGTGAACAGCTGAGAGGATAGACAGGCGGCACCGTTGACTCGAATCAACTCGTTCATTTGAAATTACCTCAGGAATTAACTGTCTATTCAATAGACTCTATTGTATAAGCAAGCAAACAAAGCAAGCGAGAGCTGCGTACCACAATTTCGTAGTACCCAGGTTCGATTTTTATACCCGAGCGCAGTTGTGTTCCTTCACATAGCTGTTGTTTGTAACAGCTTAAAGGAACCTAGATAGATATAGACAATGAAAAGATATACCGATTAACCCCCGGTTGTCCGTCCGTACGATAACTCGAGTAAAAATTGAGGTATCTTAAGGAAAGTTGGTACATGTATTTCTTTCGAGCTAAGTTCGCAGAAATACGAAAACTGCGATATTTTAGTAACTATTCAAGCCGGGAATGGGAATGTGTGTGTGAGTTTGTGAGTAAATTTTAAAATTAAAATGCTTGAAAACGTCAAAAATACTAAGAGTATCTCTCAGCGGTTCTACCCCACCAAACAATTTTTGTTGCCAGCAATAAGAAAACGTCTCGCCCTCGGAAACAAATTTATTGCCGGTAATATTGCCATAGTATCGATTTCCTATTACTAGTCGCTCTAAAACGTCCGCCGAAGGCAACTCGCCTGGGCGAGTCGTTATCTTATTACCTGAATGCGTAATTTTCTTATCGTTTCAGGCAAGGTGTATTAAAGAAGGTGGGATTGACAACCCAGGTAGGCTCTCTTCTAAGGTACCATTATGGAAAAAAATATAAACAAGCGTTCAAAATTCATAAAAAAATTTTTTCAATTTAACTTTATAGGGTGGCTCATGATACAATAATTTTTAGAAGGTAGTTTCACTTCAATATTTTTGACATAAACCGTGTCTGTGACAAACACGCAATGTGGCCACTGCCATGATATAGAACTTGGGGATTTTCGCTTGTTATTTTAGATATTTTTTAACAGAAGGGTGGTTCTTCTGAGAGCAATGCCAAATTCAATCACACTCTGTTGAATACATTTTGCTTTCAGGCGATGTTTGAAATAATTTTATTCTTTTTAAGACTACATTTATTTTTTGTATACGAAATTGGAACTTAGAAACGGAATTAATTAATTTATTTCGCTGTGGGGCTTCCTATTTTTTCAATCCTGTCCTTGGTATATATTAGACGATTTTGAATAATTCTGTTGACAACAAATGTATAAGTTTGGGAATTTTTGATAACTTATTTATTCCAAAGTTGACATGAAAGAAATGATGTTGCCGATTTGTTGCCATTGACGATTGTTGCTCATTTCTCCTGTTTTGCGTGGTGGGACCTTACTATATTTTTTATCATGGCACAAACCACACACTCGTACGTACACGTAGTAGTCACATATCTATAGAAATTATGAAAGAAAGTCTGAACGTACTTGATTTATGTGAAGTAATTGGATCGAAACAAAGTAATTTATGCTGCAGTATGAACATAGTTTGTAGTAGAAGAAACTTATTGCTGGCACCGTTGTTTTGTTTGCTTTTAGAATGAAAAAACATACATACATATACACTTTCTTACGTTTTTTCTTCATTTCATAACACAAGTGTAAAACGTAGTAAGAAATAGACACAAAGAAGTGCAACTGACTCAAAGAATTACGATGGTCATTTGACTGTCTGCGTAACTCGACCCACGACCCACGACCCAATGTTGTCGCCTGTCTATGCTATAACACAACTTACCACCCATAGATAACGTGGTTTCTAACAAAGCAGAATCATAGTGACTAAATGGTGTCCACACGAACTTGTTGCTACCCGTCGGCCGCTTGTAAAACCAATGCTTGACTGCGGGCGAATAGGGCTGAAAAGTAAAAAAAAAAAAAAATAATAATAATAATAATGCGATGAAATTTAGTAATAAGATATAAAAATTAATGTTTTTCTTTGGTGAGAGCATCACTTGAAAACGGCTGGACCTATTACGCGAATTGTCTTAATAGTTCATTGTAATCTATGTACAGTGTGACAAGTGAGCTCGGAGGCCATTTATCCTTGGGAATAAATCAATTTTTTTGTTTTAATTTTATATACTTACATATTTTCGATATATGTATAAATGTATGTATACTAGTACTTGAAATACTTCGCAGTTACGTATGTATGTACATTAGACTGATTAAAAAAAATCGACTAATTTTTCTTTTAACCTTCAATACCTTCAGAGGGATGTTAAAAGATGCCTGTTAAAAGCGCAACCCTTAATATTAAGTTTAAAAGGTCGCGTGTCGCGGATCACAATTTTCCATATAAATTACTTAGAAAAAAATTTTTTTCAACTTTGGAATTGGTTTTCTCGTCTTTGAATTATCGGAAATTAGAAGTTCTACATGAAACTTCCCATATCATTTTTTGATAAACCTACTGGTTTAACGGTTATTCAAACTTAAAGATAATGTATGTCATTATTACAGTTTTTTCTCCTAGGTCAGATAATTAAATTTATTTTCAACTATCCAGGTTAGGTTAGGTTAGGAGCGCGTGTGTGCAGAGCACGGACTTGGAAAAATTAATATTGGTAGATTTCCCAGCGAAGTCGATCAGCCGCAATACGTTGTCGGGCGTTTCGTCGTGGAGGCTGAATTTTCCGACGATGGTTCCAAAAATCCCTTCCTTGCCCACCCTGGCATTGAAGTCTCCAAGCACGATTTTGATATCATGACGGGGCCAGCGCTTGTACATGCGCTCCAAGCGCTCATAGAAGAGATCCTTGGATGCCTCATCCTCCTCTCCCGTCGGGCATGGGCGCAGATGAGCGAGATGTTGAAGAATTTCGCTTTGATGCGGATTGTGGCTAGACGCTCGTCCATCGGGGTGGTGGTAACGACAGTACTCGGCGACGGAGTCTCGACACTGGTAATCGATTCAGGTCCAGACGAATACATATAAGGTGGTAGCGATTCAACAAATGCAACAATTACTTATATTTTAGTTTTGCGTTTAGCGGACCATTTGCAAATTTCAGCTATTCTCCCCGAATGAAAAAGGGCGACAGGATATACAAACACTCTCACGTTTTCACTCACTCACTAACGAAATACAAAATTTTGACAATCAAACGCTACTCACAGTATAAATTCGCCTTGGATGCAGGTATGAAATTCTTGCATAACAACACTAACTTTTTCATTTTTTTGGATTACAACACTCTTGCAGCAAATCAAACTTTCAAACTTTATACAGAATTCAGAAAAATTCAACAAATTTTCATCGAAATTTAACTTACCACAGTCGTTGGTGGCACCGTCGCGGCTGCCTTCTCTCCAAGCAGCATACTAGCCATTCTTAGTTCACGTAAGACCTCCTCTGGCAAATCCTCGTAATGCTTTTCCGGTGCTAAATCGGTAGCAGAATTTGCAACTGCAGACGCAAGTGGTGAATCTGCAACTGCAATTGGTTCAGAAGCTACTTCTTGCACCGCTGGCTGGAACTCAGCAGGTACTCGCACTTCTTGCTGTGTTATAGGGGCTGCTAAAGTCTTCTCAGGGCTACGCTTGGCAAACACTTCAGAAGGCAAAGTACGCGCACTCACGTTGCTATTATTCCACTCTGAAAACTCCGAGCACGATGAGGAAGGCGGTTCTACCAAATTAGAAACGGATGTAAGCGAGCCCAAATTACGGTGGGCTAGGCCACTATGCACCAAATCGTAACCAAGGTCACCTACACCGGAGTTATTTTCACGTTGTGGTGGATTGTTGAAGAAATTTTGTAAACGTTGGTCCTCGTTCGATTGAGCGACTGTTTGGTGCTGTTGTTGATGTTGTTGGGGTTCCCCTTGTTGCTGTTGTTGTTGAGTGGACAACGAATTGAATACACTTTCAGATAGCGGCTGAGACTGTGATTGTGTAAATGTGTCAAAGAAATGAGCCGTAGATGAAGTGTCTGTTGACGGCAGCGCTACAGTTGGTGGAACTATCTGTTCTTGTCGTTGTTCGTTTTGCGTTTGTTTACTTTTAGTTGTATGCTTTGAAGGTTGCTCGAAGTAAGTAAATGAATTTACAACACCCGACTGCTGAGTTTGAGTGTTGCTAACAGTAGAAGACGATGTTTGCACGTTTGTGACAATAGCGGCGAGAGTAACTGTTGAGTTAGTATTTGAGATTGATGGCGCAACTACTGCTTGCGCTTCAATCTGAGTAGACTGCAAGGACGTCGACGGTAGAATATTATCAAAGCCGATTGGAGGTGGAACACCCAGCGGTGGTGTCGCTGTAATATCAACAGCTGTAGTTGGAGCCTCGCGCGTAATTGTGGGAGGTGCAATACCAAGCTGTGGCGGCAATGGTGGAAATTCGGTTAGCTGTTGGTGAGTCGGTGTGGGCTGAAAGAAGTTAGACTGTGTCTGTTCGCAATAGCCAAAGAAGCCAGCGGCACTAGGTAATGCAGCAGCAGCAGCAGTAGGTATCGCGGGTTCTTGTGTATTTTCCGCTGAACAAGCAGGTGGCTGATGTTCGACGGCGCTCGGTTGCAAAGACTGATCTTCTACTGGAGACGTAATTATATTGAATGAATCTGTTACACTTGAACCAGTTATGCCTGGCGCATCGACAAAGAAGTTTGCTAACTTCGGCTGAGTTTCGCCCTTTGGCTGTGGCTGTGACTGAGGGCCTGGCACGATTGGCGATGCACCGAGGTTTCTGCGGAATGGATTTGCGTTTTGATTTTTATTTAGCGGACGACTGACGTTTGGCACACGAGGAGGTAAAATCGGGCTGACTCCAGGCGTGATTTGTGTATCTGGTTGAGGTTGCACCAATAATGGAGTGTTAGATTGGCTTTCTTGTGCCGTTTGCGTTGGAACGTTTAATTCAGGTTCTTCAACTAAGTTTGAATCAATGTTCGGTTCTTTCGCATGCAAATGCTGCGCTTCGAATTCGGTAGGTAAATTTTGAGTTGAAGGCAGCTGCACTTGTTCAAGGTTATGACTTAAAACCTCTTCCTTTTCTTCTCCTTTTGGAGTCTGGAAAGTATGTTGATGAATTGTTGGCTCCGATGGCTGAAGCTTTATTGAAAGCTTTCTTAAAGCTTCAGGCAACACTTCGGATTGATTCTCAGCTTCAGTAGATATCTGTTTTTCTGTTTCAGTTTTGTCGGTTGAGCATACTTCTGGTAAGAAAGCTTCAATGGTTTGCTGCTGTATTGTAGCCTCTATGTCTTTTATTGTTGAAGATTGGTTAATAGAACTTTCCACATTCGCTCCTTCTCCTGCTGTAGTGGCCACATGCAATGTTTTTGGCTCCGCGGTTGTGAATCTTATTGTATCCTGCTCTTCAATGGTAACACCGGCCTGTGATTGTTCGTCGTTTGTCGCCCGTTTTGCTTCCGTTACCGACTGCTCAACGGTGAACAGTGCAACATTTGACTCCGATGGCTGAGCAATGAAATAACTTGGCA